TTTATAAAATTGGTTAGTGTAACTGGCTTATATGTTAATATGGAATAAGAGGAATAAGTTGAATAATATCCCTAATAATTTGGTCCATTTTAAAAATCGTTTTTAAGAGAATCGCGCAATTCCATAAATCAAAAGAAAAATTTTCCAAATGATTGATTTTTTTTTTTTTTTTTTGTGTCAAAAGAAAATATTTGAAAGATATATTCTAATGTTGAGATCTTTAAAATCGCCACCAAATTAATGTCATACGATGCTGATACAATTTACTAATAATTTGGTCCATATTGTTAGGAAATTCCCTATAGCGTCCGACCTGGTAAACAACTTTAAATCCCCTTTTCGGTTTAGGACTACTTCATCCTAGCTTTCACCCACGGCAATACATTTGGCACGGTTTATAAATTCTACCTCTGATAGTATCCGCCCTGAGATAAAACATTATATATCCTCCTTATTATTGGTATTCAATCCTAAGCTTTCTTGGCTCTTTTTCGATTCTGAAATTTGCTTCAAGCTGAATTCAATTTAAGGTCCTTTTTGAGTTTAACATTAGCTTTAAATTGTCTTCAATCGTTAATGATATTGAAGTTTAAAATTATCCTCAAATGTAGCGTAATATGGACCTCCAGCTTAACGTGATTTCGATTTAAAAAAAAGAAGAAAATGTGACTATTAATACTCTCTCTTTCTATCTCTTAAGCTGTTATTCATTCCAAATGTACTCAAGTTTTTTTTTCGTTTATTTTATCTCTGTAATTATGTGTGTGTGAGAGAGTTTGTATGTTAAAAAGTGTGATGTGGAAAATTTCACCTTTATTTTCCACTTTATATGAGAATAAACGTACATTGAGTATACGTAATGGTGGCTGCAATGATTGAAATGCTAACTGTATGAGTATATGAAACAGTATTGTACAAAGTTTAAGCAATTTATTTAACAACTTTAGTCTAGTATATAGCCTAGTCTATAGTTTAATCAATAATCTAGAGTCTAGTCTACAGTCTAGTCTACAGTCTAGTCTTTACTCTAGTCTATAGTCTAGAGTATAGTCTAATATATAATCTGGTCTATAGTCTTGTCTGTAGTATAGTCTATAGTCTAGTCTCTAGTCCAGTATAGTTTATAGTCTAGTCGGTAGTCTAGTTTATAGTCTAGTCAATAGTCTACTCTATAGTCTACTCTATAGTCTAGTCTATAGTCTACTCTATTCCAGTCTATAGTCTAATCTATAGTCTAGTCTATAGTCTAGTCTATAGTCTAGTCTATAGTCTAGTCTATAGTCTAGTCTATAGTCTAGTCTATAGTCTAGTCTATAGTCTAGTCTATAGTCTAGTCTATAGTCTAGTCTATAGTCTAGTCTATAGTCTAGTCTATAGTCTAGTCTATAGTCTAGTCTATAGTCTAGTCTATAGTCTAGTCTATAGTCTAGTCTATAGTCTAGTCTATAGTCTAGTCTATAGTCTAGTCTATAGTCTATTCTATAGTCTAGTCTATAGTCTAGTCTATAGTCTAGTCTCTAGTCCAGTATAGTTTATAGTCTAGTCGGTAGTCTAGTTTATAGTCTAGTCTATAGTCTACTCATAGTCTACTCTATAGTCTACTCTATAGTCTAGTCTATAGTCTAGTCTATAGTCTAGTCTATAGTCTAGTCTATAGTCTAGTCTATAGTCTAGTCTATAGTCTAGTCTATAGTCTAGTCTATAGTCTAGTCTATAGTCTAGTCTATGTCTAGTCTAGTCTAGTCTATAGTCTAGTCTATAGTCTAGTCTATAGTCTAGTCTATAGTCTAGTCTATAGTCTAGTCTATAGTCTAGTCTATAGTCTAGTCTATAGTCTAGTCTATAGTCTAGTCTATAGTCTAGTCTATAGTCTAGTCTATAGTCTAGTCTATAGTCTAGTCTATAGTCTAGTCTATAGTCTAGTCTATAGTCTAGTCTATAGTCTAGTCTATAGTCTAGCTATAGTCTAGTCTATAGTCTAGTCTATAGTCTAGTCTCTAGTCTAGTCTATAGTCTAGTCTATAGTCTAGTCTATAGTCTAGTCTATAGTCTAGTCTATAGTCTAGTCTATAGTCTAGTCTATAGTCTAGTCTATAGTCTAGTCTATAGTCTAGTCTATAGTCTAGTCTATAGTCTAGTCTATAGTCTAGTCTATAGTCTAGTCTATACTCCTAGTCTATAGTCTAGTCTATAGTTAGTCTCTAGTCCAGTATCGTTTATAGTCTAGTCGGTAGTCATGTTTATAGTCTAGTCAATAGTCTAGTTATAGTCTAGTCTATAGTCTACTCTATAGTCTAGTCTTAGTCTACTCTATAGTCTAGTCTATAGTCTACTCTATAGTCTAGTCTATAGTCTAATCTATAGTCTAGTTATAGTCTAGTCATAGTCTAGTCTATAGTCTAGTCTATAGTCTAGTCTATAGTCTAGTCTATAGTCTAGTCTATAGTTGTCTATAGTCTAGTTACTAGTCTATAGTCTAGTCTATAGTCTAGTCTATAGTCTAGTCTGTAGTCCAGTCTATAGTCTAGTCTATAGTTTAGTCTATAGTCTAGTCTATAGTCTAGTCTATAGTCTAGTCTATAGTGTAGTCTATAGTCTAGTCTATAGTCTAGTATAGTCTAGTCTATAGTCTAGTCTATAATCTAGTCTATAGTCTAGTCTCTAGTCCAGTATAGTTTATAGTCTAGTCAGTAGTCTAGTTTATAGTCTAGTCTATAGTCTACTCTATAATCTAGTCCATAGTCTACTCTATAGTCTAGTCTATAGTCTACTCTATAGTCTAGTCTATAGTCTACTCTATAGTCTAGTCTATAGTCTAGTATATAGTCTAGTCTATAGTCTAGTCTATAGTCTAGTCTATAGTCTAGTCTATAGTAGTCTAGTCTATAGTCTAGTATATAGTCTAGTCTATAGTTAGTCTATAGTCTAGTCTATAGTCAAGTCTATAGTCTAGTCTAGTATAGTCTTATAGTTAGTCTATAGTCTAGTCTATAGTCTAGTCTATAGTCTAGTCTATAGTCTAGTCTATAGTCTAGTCTATAGTCTAGTCTATAGTCTAGTCTATAGTCTATGCTATAGTCTAGCCTATAGTCTAGTCTATAGTCTAGTCTATAGTCTAGTCTATAGTCTAGTCTATAGTCTAGTCTACAGTCTAGTCCATAGTCTAGTCTATAGTCTAGTCTATAGTTAGTCTATTAGTCTAGTCTATAGTCTAGTCTATAGTCTAGTCTATAGTCAAGTCTATAGTCTAGTCTATAGTCTAGTCTATAGTCTAGTCTGTAGTCTAGTCTATAGTCTAGTCTATAGTCTAGTCTATGGTCTAGTCTATAGTCTAGTCTATAGTCTATTCTATAGTCTAGTCTATAGTCTAGTCTATAGTCTAGTCTATAGTCTAGTCTATAGTCCAGTCTATAGTCCAGTCTATAGGTCTCGTCTATAGTCTAGTCTATAGTCTAGTCATAGTCTAGTCTATAGTCTAGTCTATAGTCTAGTCTATAGTCTAGTCTAGTCTAGTCTATAGTCTAGTCTATAGTCTAGTCTATAGTCTAGTCTATAGTCTAGTCTATAGTCTAGTCTATAGTCTAGTCTATAGTCTAGTCTATAGTCTAGTCTATGGTCTAGTCTATAGTCTAGTCTTAGTCTATAGTCTAGTCTATAGTCTAGTGTCTAGTCTATAGTCTAGTCTATAGTCTAGTCTATAGTCTAGTCTATGGTCTAGTCTATAGTCTAGTCTATAGTCTAGTCTATAGTCTAGTCTATAGTCTAGTCTATAGTCTAGTCTAGTCTATAGTCTAGTCTAGTCTATAGTCCTAGTCTAGTCTAGTCTATAGTCTAGTCTAAGTCTAATGTCTATAGTCTAGTCTAGTCTAGTCTATAGTCTAGTCTATAGTCTAGTCTAGTCTATAGCCTAGTCTATAGTCTAGTCAATAGTCTAGTCTATAATCTATAGTCTAGTCTATAGTCTAGTCTATAGTCTAGTCTATAGTCTAGTCTATAGTCTAGTCTATAGTCTAGTCTATAGTCTAGTCTATAGTCTAGTCTATAGTCTAGTCTATAGTCTAGTCTATAGTCTAGTCTATATCTGGTCTATAGTCTATTCTATAGTCTAGTCTATAGTCTAGTCTATAGTCTAGTCTATAGTCTAGTCTATAGTCTAGTCTATAGTCTAGTCTATAGTCCAGTCTATAGTCTAGTCTATAGTCTAGTCTATAGTCTACTCTATAGTCTAGTCTATAGTCTAGTCTATAGTCTAGTCTAGTCTAGTCTATAGTCAGTATAGTCTAGTCTATAGTCTAGTCTATAGTCTAGTCTATAGTCTAGTCTATAGTCTAGTCTATAGTCTAGTCTATAGTCTAGTCTATAGTCTAGTCTATAGTCTAGTCTATAGTCTAGTCTATAGTCTAGTCTATAGTCTAGTCTATAGTCTAGTCTATAGTCTAGTCTATAGTCTAGTCTATAGTCTAGTCTATAGTCTAGTCTATAGTCTAGTCTATAGTCTATATAGTCTAGTCTATAGTCTAGTCTATAGTCTAGTCTATAGTCTAGTCGATTGTCTAGTCTAGTCTAGTCTATAGTCTAGTCTATAGTCTAGTCGATTGTAGTCTATAGTCTAGTCTATAGTCCAGTATAAATTGTTACAATAAAAATTATCTTGCTTATGTTTCGCACAATAGGTGTATGTATGTATATGTAGGTATGAGTAAATAATGAAGGATTCTTGTTTTTTATGAAACAATCACCAGCCATGTATAATAAAACAAATGTTTGTTTTTTATTATTTTTTCATCTTGTTGTTTTTGCCATTTTATTTCGCTCTCTTTTTATTATTGCTTTTTTATTATTATTATTAAGGCAAACAAAGCAACAGAGAGCAAAAACTAAGGCTTTTATAGAGAGTTTATTAACCTTTAATGAGAGGGTGTTTTCTTTTAGACATAAATTAAAATGATTAAATTTTTTTTTAAACACAATTTAAAATTAAACTTTTTTCTTCTTTCTAGCGGCGAACGTATGTGGCGTATGAGTCATTCTCTACTTCCGGCATGGTATGTTTGCTTGTTATATTTTGACAAATTTGTTACTTTAAAATTTTTAATTTTTATATTTTATACAAAAACCCAAACAGTTTTCCTATTAATTATAA